AAACATTTAAAAATTAAAAACATTAAAACTCATTCACACCATTCATGGCCGGATCTCGCTGGATCGCAAGAGTGAGATCAACGGTCCCAGGCCTGCTGGAAAAGCCAGGTCTTCACCGCTTTTCGGAAGGCCAATAGGGTGGGGATGGTCCGGACCTCAGGAGGTAACTGATTCCAGAGAGCTGGGGCAGCCACAGAGAAGGCTCTCCCCCGCGGGCCTGCCAGCCGGCATTGTTTAGCTGACGGGACCCGGAGGAGACCAACTCTGTGGGATCTTACCGGTCGTTGGGAGTTAATGCGGTAGAAGGCAGTCTCGAAGATACCCTGGCCCATTAGCCATTACTAATAGTAGTAGTAATGCAGCTTTAGTGAATAGTTTGACAGTGTTGAGGGAATTATTTGTTTAGCAGAGTGATGGCATTTGGAAAAAAAACTGTTCTTGTGTCTAGTTGTTTTGGAAGATCATTTGTCACACTATAGACCCTCCACCAAGACACGCTAGGAATATCAGCTCCCAGAATTCGCAGCAATAGCTAGGTTCCCTGAGGTTTTCTAGGAGTTGAAGTCCAACATGTGGATGATATCCAAACTGGAGAGGGCAAATCACTCCAGTAGAGCAGATGTACAGGACGTCCACCTTTGAAAAGCTATAGCTAATTGTTTAGCTCCAATGCTTAATACTCTCTAAGGCTTTGTAAAAACTGAAATGGGCCAAACGTCTCCTCATAACTTTGCTAAGCCTTGAACGATATTATATTAGAAATATTTCCATGAGAAGAGTTGTATACAAAGGTGGGATATACACGTTGTAGCAACCGGTTCGCCCAGCACTGAAAATGTGAGTGAACATATGTGTGCGGCATCACAAAACATGGCAATTCACTCACGCACACCATCCACAGATGCATGTGACATCAAACAACACAGCACATGCGTGTGGCATCAACAACACCCACCCGCAGGTCGCTACTACCAGTTCACCCAAACCGTTCCAAACCATCTGAATACCACCTCTGTTTCAGTGGTGGGTTTCAAAAAATTTTACTACCAGTTGTGTGGGCGTGGCTTGGAGGGCATGGCATGGCTTGGTGGGCATGGCTTGTGGGTGTGGCAGGGGAAGGATACTGCAAAATCTCCATTCCCACCCCACTCCAATGGAAGGTTACTGCAAAATCTCCATTCCCACCCCACTCCAACGGAAGGTTACTGCAATATCCCCATTTCCTCCCAATCAGCTGGGACCTGGGAGGCAGAGAATAGATGGGGGTGGGGCCAGTCAGAATTTTTACTACCAGTTCTCCAAACTACTCAAAATTTCCACTACCGGTTCTCCAGAACTGGTCAGAACCTGCTGAAACCCACCTCTGCTCTCTTTGTATACATTTTCATTACAGAGACTAGCATAATCAGTAATATAAAAGAAGAATGAGCAAAGAAGTCTATTCTTTCCAATACAATATTTTTAAAGCTAGGTAATGAATCAAGCTTTTATGATAAAAGTTGCATATTATCAAAATCTTGAGAATTCTTCATGAATATTTGGGAGGATAGAGGTACTTGGAGATCTAAAACACACAATTTTTATCTGTTTGCATATATATGTTGCATACATCAAAGCTATTCTTATCTTGTGTCATTAGCTTAAGTTTCAGGAACACCATACTAAATTTTAAACTCCAGGTCTATTGATTTTCCAACCTTTTGGGGTTTTTTTGCAAAATAACCTTTTTTATTCAATCATTTTGTGGCTGTTCTTCTCAGATACTTACAGTCTGGCCTTGTTGCGGAGATGGGTACAAGTCTCTCTTAGTCAAAATGTTTTAAAATGTTAAAACTTCTTTTGGGTGGGGGCAAACACTCAACAGCTTTATGAGAGGTGGGTTGATTTTAATAAGATTTTCCTGTGGCAAAACCCACGACAAAATAGAGGCCTTGTTCAAACAATATGTTAATCTATTTTATGAGATGTTTCCTTTCTGATTCAAGTGAACAAAACCTAAGAAAACTTTCTTTGGCCTTTGACCTCAGTTGCTGAAAATTGGTGGCATCATTAACTGTCATTTTGCAATGGAAAGGCACACAAACCATGGTGAGGTTTTTTCCACATTCAAATATGTCTGACTCTCCAAAATTGCCTGGACACAGCTTTCTTGGGAAGATTTTTCAGAAGTGGTTCACCATTACCTCCTTCCTGAGGCTGAGAGTTGGCTTCTTACCTAAGGCAAGACTAGAACTCACTGTCTCCTGAGTTCTAGACTGACTCCTCATATATGCTTAATATAGTTTTGAAGGGACACGGTGGCTCAGTAGCTAAGATGCTGAGCTTGTCGATCGAAAGGTCGGCAGTTCAGTGGTTCAAATCCCTAGTGCCGCATAACGGGGTGAGTTCCCGTTACTTGTCCCAGCTTCTGCCAACCTAGCAGTTCGAAAGCATGTAAAAAATGCAAGTAGAAAAATAGGGACCACCTTTGGTGGGAAGGTAACAGCGTTGCGTTCACCTTTGGCATTTAGTCATGCCAGCCACATGACCACAGAGACGTCTTTGGACAGCGCTGGCTCTTCGGCTTTGAAACGGAGATGAGCACCACCCCCTAGAGTCAGGAACAACTAGCACATATGTGCAAGGAGAACCTTTACCTTTACTTTTACCGTATAGTTTTGAAAACTAGGAAAAGGACTCAAAAGCAATGGGGTTGCCTTAACCACGTCTATGATATAGTTCCGTGCAATTTGCATCACTGTCCCTTCCACTGAACTCTTCATTGTATACAGTGGTGGAATTCAGCCAGTTCACACCACTTTGGGAGAACCGGTTGTTAACTTTTTGAGCAGTTTTTTATTTCATCAAGCTGGCCTGGCCTAAATCTTCTCCCCTTTTTAAATGTGAATTTTAATTTGTTTTTAAATTATAGGGTATTTTAAATTTGTTCAGCCAAATTATTTAATTCGTTTTTATTCTATTTTAAATTTTTGTATTTATGTGTTTTATCCTGTGGCTGTTCACCGCCCTGAGTCCTTCGGGAGTAGGGCGGTATAGAAATTTAAAAAATAAAAAAATAATAATAAATATAAAAGTTTGGCAAACTGGTTGTTGAAAGAAATCATTAGGGCAGAGAACCGATTGTTAAATTACTTGAATCCCACCACTGATTGTATACCAAAATGATGCAGGTAACACCCAGTCACAAAAAGGTTTTCCACCTGGGTGCTTTTGGCTTTTGTTTTTCTTTTGTTAGTTTTGTTGTTGTTGTTGAGTTTATCCTCCATGGTATATACTCAAGTATTGTGATTTATAACTATGCTTCGGCATATTTATGACTCTGCATGTTGTGTCAATGTAACCAAACATAATAAGCGGTGTTTAGTTACATTCACACAACATGCAGAGCAAACCATTAGCTAGCATGGTATGAATCCTATCGGTTTTGTATAAGTAATTAAGGGGATGTGAAAGGTGTATCGGAATCTTCCATCATTTTCTTGTTACTATAGGTAGTCCTCAATTTATGACCACAATTGGGATTCGAATTTTAGTTGTAAGTCATGACAGTTCCTCCCCCATCAAGAGTCATCTGCTGGTAGGGAAACCACGAACTAATCCCCCCTGTGGGACGATTGGTCAGGATAAGAACTGATCCAGATCTGTATACATAAACACAGTAGATAAACAAAGGAAGTAAAGTCTGTAGAGATTCTCAGTCATTTTTCCATTCTCCACTATTCTCCACTATCCTGTCAAAACTGAAGAAGCTTCTTGGGTGAGAAGCGAAACGTCTTCAAAGAAAAAACAAGAAAGTCCAATTGCCTCCCGAAAAAGCACCTTTGGGACGAAGGAAGTAAAGGAGTCGCTGCGGATTTTACTATGCTAGTCATTGCTGACTCTAGGGGGCAGCACTCATCTCTTTTTTTTTTTTTTTTTTTTTTGAGGCCATGAGCCAGAGTTGTCCAAAGACATTTCCGCATTCATGTGGCCAGCATGATATCACAGAAGGCTGTCTCCTCCTCACTAAAATGGCACCTATTTATCTTCTTGCATTTGCATACTTTTGAACTGCTAGGTGGGCAGGAGCTGGGATGAGGACAGGAACTCACCCCATCCTGTGGTGCTTGGGTCTTGAACCCAGACTGTTGGCTTCCCAGCCCTCAAGCCCAGCATCTTAACCACTGAACCACCATACTGCGCTGATAAGCAAATGAGTGATTATATTCTGAACAAAATGATACCTATACTAATGAAGTAATGTGATCTAGTAGAATGTACAAGTTTTATTTGCAAAACCAGTCTGTTTTTCAATGCATATATAGAATAATAGAGGAAATCAAGCCTTAATCTAATTACTTTTCTCTTTCTCCCACTTTCTGTTTGTAACTTATTACAGATCCTTCTCCCCCTCCTTATCTCCAAAACTGGAATATCTCTGAGCTTTCCCCTCGCTGTCTTGCTGCCAGACAAAACCTTTTAACTCCTAAATTCCCATTCTCCAGCAGCTGATTCTTTGTACACAACCAGATCCAACATGCTTCCCTTAGTGAATTCTCCTGGTATTTCCCCATTTTCAAAACCTGCTTCGGGCTTTTCCTCTTAGTCTTCTACCATTTCCCAAGGCTGGGAGATGTAATGGGCTGGATTAAATCAACCTTTTGCACAGCACAGAGTAAGTGTCATAAAAATGATACATCTTTTTCTTCTTCTTTAAATACAGGACTTTCAAAACAGCATCAAATCTATGTTTAAAATGAGTTTATGTAATCTGGTTTTTTTGCAGCTCAAGTCAAAAAAAAGAAAGGCCACGGACAAAAGATTCCAGTTGTCAAAAAAAAAGTGCATGCCCACAGAAAACCGAAAGGATCAGATAGATGAGTATATCTATAACTCAGGGTTGAACTGTAGAATTCTTGGTGCTCTTTGAACTTGGTTGTTTTCCTGCAGATATTTCATTACCCTACTAGGTGGTGCTAGTGAGTATGGGAGTTACTCCCTGATAATATACAGTTGCTTACCGTATCAGTGCCGGTGTGGTCTTCTCCTTGGTAGGTCCTTGATCAGGGTATTGTTTTCTGATTGATATTTGTCTGGTGTTAATCTCTGCTTATCTGAATATTGGTTGCTGGGGACATCTGCAAGCAAACAACTAAGCTCAGAAAGCACCAAGGATTCCACAAATATATTTATGCAGTTATACAGATCCCTTCCCCACCCAACCCCCCACAACTCTTGTCAGAAGGCTACTTTGTGTAGGTACCCCAGTTTGAATCCTTTTATTAAAGCAGAAGACAACAAGAGGGCTCTCCAGGTCTCTGAACCACGAAGAAACTGATCCAGTGGACAGTATGACACACCTAACATTCCTGACCATCTTATCAACTGCCTCACCAAATGAAATGTATTACATTGTATTCCCAGCAAAAACTGCATTGGACGAAGAGAGAAATTATGTCTTTAAACCAGTGGTGAAATCCAAATTTTTTTACTACCAATTCTATGGATGTGGCTTGGTGGGCATGGTGTGGCTTGGTGGGCGTGGCTTGGTGGGCGTGGCCAGGGAAGGATACTACAAAATCTCCATTCCCACCCCACTCTGAGGCCAGCCAGAGGTGGTATTTGCCGGTTCTCCGAACTGCTCAAAATTTCTCCAGAACCTGTCAGAACCTGCTGGATTTCACCCCTGCTTTAAACCAGTGGTAAAATCTGAACCAGTTTGCCACCGGTTCGCTGGCCGCACATGCGCAGTACGTGCCAAACATGTGCCACATGCATATGTGCAGTGCACACAAAAAGCACGCTGCACACATGCATGTGCAGTACGAGCTAAATGCGCAGAAAAATGAGGCTTGCGAAGGTAAGTATAACAGCGAGGGGGAAACAGCTGTGTGGCGTGATTTAGATTCACTAGAAACCAGGATTTCCTGCTTTCTAGCGATTTTAAATCGCATGATCGTCAGAAATACTGGAAATACCGGTTCGGAGGAACCGGTAGGTTTTTTTACTACCGGCTCACTCGAATTGGTAGTTTTTATCACTACCAGTTCACCCAAACCGGTGTGAACCGATAGGATTTCACCACTGCTTTAAACTTGAATTACTAATGACAGCTTTAAGCTGAGGATAAGAATGAAAGCAACAGAATGTGGTTGTGGCATTTTAAAAAAAAGGGTACCAATTGATGTTGCCTTGAAGGGGGATATGAGGGAAAGACCAGAATCTCACTTCCTTCAATAAAGTCTCTAGGCAGAATCCCATGAATATCTGGCTTTTGTTTTTTTCCTGGTTTGCTTAAAGCATAATATGCTAAGAGCAAAAGAGCCTGAATTCTTTTATGTTCAGCACCAGGAAAGAAAATCAGCTGGAATTGTCTGAGAAAGCCATCTTGTTTACAAAAATATCTTTGACCTGAACAACTAGGCAATTATTATGGTTTTTTTAAAAAAAAAAATCAACTACCTATGCACCTAGTTGCCTCTATCTTTTGCTTAATTTATAACCTCTTTTCACCGATGAAGAAGCTTCTAAACCAGGGAAAATAAACTGGGTCAATGCCAATTGAAAACACAATTAAAACCACAAGACATCAATAAAATAAATAACACTCATGCAGCCAATAGGTTATACCCTAAATCTTTATCTGAATAAAATGTTTTGTTTGCTGGCAGGAAATAACAAAGAGAGAGCAAGCTAACTTGACCTCTATTAAAAAAAGACCTCTAAGAAAAGATATTTTCCTACACCATCCTCAGACTTGCCTCCAAAGCTGGTAAAGCAGGAGCTGTGTTCCTTACCAGATCAGATAAAGACACAACAGGTGAATTTACCCAACATCCTAAATTTAATAGTATTAACCTTGAATTACCTTTTGAGGCTCAGCATGTTGCCCAATGATAAAGATATCTTCTAAAGGTCTTAAAGCTTGGGCAAACTCATAAGAGAAGATGTGATATTTTTCCCAATTTGCTGCTCCCGTGCCCTTAAGGACTTTATAAATAATGTCAGGAATTTGTATTAAATCTAGAAACAGACCTGGAACCAGTCATCCTGGTCAACAGTCTTTCTGGGTAACCGTAGAGGAGGTGGGTAAGTCTGGTTGTATAAATCTCATTTGCAGACAGACAGATGATAGACAAATAGACATAGATGGATATAGATATAGACAGACAGACAGACAGATAGATGATAGATAGCACTAGCACTAGCACTTAGACTTCACAGTGCTTTACAGTCCTCTCCAAGTGGTTTACAGAGTCAGCATATTGTCCCCAAAAATGTGGGTCCTCATTTTACTGACCTTCAAGGATGGCAAGCTGAGTCAATCTTGAGCTGTTCATAATTGAACTCTTGGCAGTCGGCAAAAGTAGCCTGCAATACTGCATTCTAACCACTGGCCACCACTCTGATCTTGTGATGATGCACCTGACATAACAATGTGATGATAGCAAGGTTTGCCCTTGATGCCTATAAGTCATATGACACTTATTTGGACTTGTTGAACTTGTATCGGTGGTGGCGCAGTGGTTAGAATGCAGGCTAACTCATTACTCACTGCCAGGAGTTCAATCCTGACTGGCTCAAGGTTGACTCAGACTTCCATCCTCCTGAGGTCAATAAAATGAGGACCCAGATTGTTGGGGGCAATATGCTGACTTGCTAAACGGCTTAGAGAGGGCTGTAAAGCACTATGAAGCGGTATATAAATCTAAGTGCTAATGCTATTGCTATCTATCATCTCTCTGTCTGTCTATCTATATCTGTCTATGTCTGTCTGTCTGTCTGTCTGTCTGTCTATCTATCTATCTATCTATCATCTACCTTCCTGTCTGTCTGTCTGTCTGTCTATATACCTTTCTGTCTGTCTGTCTGTCTGTCTGTCTGTCTGTCTGTCTATCTGATTTTCAAAGCCACCCAAACAAAGGATTCTGGGCAGTGAATAGTCATAAATCAACAGTCACAAATAAAAATAATTACAGTATGTATATACACATAGCCAGATCTTCAAGACCTTATGAAATACCAACAGAATTGGATCATCATAATCTATGAAGGGAGAATGTTCCAGATGTCATGGGCTACATCAGAGTTGGGGAATCTCCTGGTCCCTACCAGCTGACATTCCTTGGCTGATGGGACTCATAACACAGCAAATCTTCCAGACCAAATTACAGCAATTTGAGACATAATTTGAAATCAGAGTTTGAAACAACTGGGTGAAAAGCAATTCCTCAGGTAACCTGATCCCAAGCCATGAATTTCCCCAAGAATTTTCAAACGCAATCTTATGTAAAGTAAATTACAATAGACTAGTTGAGGTGCTGCTACCTCCAGGCAGGAGCAAAAGCATTCCTGCCCTCAATTGAAAACTAGGCATCCTGATTCAAGGCAGAATGCAGAAATGTAAATAATTGCAACCCTCAGTTGCTACAGAGAAGAGGAATATGATCTTGTACACTAACAGCTGAAACTCTACTTCTTCATTTTTTTTTTTTTTGTGAATGGCCAGAATTTCTTGCTCTTGTCTGAATTAAGCATTAGCTTATTTTCCCTCATATAATCCAACACTAGCATCAGACCCATCTCTAATCTTAGTGTTGTGACCTAGGCTTACTGAGTCATTACAAGACACAATTAGTCCCAAACAAACCTATTTTATTGTAACAGCTGAGAATTACGTTCATTCCCAGCTGAGTCCCAATTAGTTGCAAAACAAGTCCTTCGGAAGAAGTCCTTCGGGATAATCACCAACTTTTATCTTCTTTGATACCCTGCCAAAGGCTTACTTGGCAAAGCCCCATGAAGTTCAGAAATAAACAAGAGATGCCGACTGGAAACAGAATTAGCAACATTGCTTTCCTGCAAAAAGGCCCAAGTGCCTTTGTTTCTCTTTTAAGCCTTACGGGAGGGGCCAATCATCTCCTGGCCTTACTCCTGAGTCATCCCTTTTGCTTTAGCTGCTCTTGCCTTCTGGCAGCTCTGTGCATGCATGCACTAGAACAGGCTCCTCCTGTTCCTCTGCCTCTCTGCTGTCTGACTCTGGAAGCTGCAGAGTCTGCACATCACTCCCAGATGGCCCTGGCCCCATCTCTGCCTCCGACACAGAGCCCTCATCCGGGCCTTCCCCAGACTCCAGGACTGGCCCATGTTCCTCCCTAGCCTCCTCACTGTCCAACTCTGTTACCAGCTCTGCAGGTTGCTGGTGGATCACAACACTTAGTACAGCTTATAAAAAATTAATATCATGGAGCATTTGCTTTATTTAACCTTATGTTTAAAATTATGCTCATTAAAATACACATGCTTTATTTGGCCTGGGTATTTGCATTAAAGAGAGACTTTGCCTTTTTGACTTGTGTAGCTCCAAAAATAATTTTAGCTGGGGAGTGAGTCATGATTAAAAAGCTTGCCATCTATGTTTGTTTTGCTGTAATATAATCAGCCAAAGAGATCTATGGCTGTTCTTCTTGCAAATCTGGGGAGACCTGGAATTAAAAATGCTTTTCTCTCTTCTTGATTATCGATGTGTTTCCGTGACATCACATGGAGCAAAATAGATCTTTATTTGAGGCAAAGGAGGCAAAAATCCAAACATATTGGCAAAAAAAAACAAAAACGCGTTGCCTGTCAACATAAGGTAGCCCTCTAGTAGGTATTCTGTTATTATCAGGATGCTGAGAAAGGAGGTGATTTTTCAGATCAAAGACAATACTCTTCTGCTGTAGAAGGAATGCAAAACATTCTGGGATCCTACTGCCTCCAAGAGGCAGCTGGAAAAAGAAAGAGAAAAGTAGAAGTAGATTGTCCAGAGGAAAATGGGCAGATGTTGTTGAATTTGTATTGAGAGGTCTTTGCTATCCGAGTTGATCAGTTGTCTTAATCTGCTTGCAACAAAACTTAGTCCTTAGCCTGTGGTATAATTCCTTGAGATGGCAGCAGCCACTGACTTCAAAAACTGAAGAGTCTGACAACTGCTTAAAATTCAGCAGCAGCGGTAGCATCTGCCCATATCAAATTGCAATGGAGTATCTAAGTCTAAGAGGGATGCAGTGGATCAGTGACTAAGACACTGAGCTTGTCAATCAAAAGGTTCGCAGTTCAGCGGTTCGAATCCCTAGTGCTGCGT